AACCTGGCACCCATGGAAAATGTGAGACAAATATGAAACGATACAACGTTTTAACACTGAGTTTCAAAAGTCAAAAGCCAATTATATATATTTCAAAGTTCAATAACTTCAGCAGTTCAGGTTTTCGATACATTATTATTGCTCAACCCTGAAAATTTCAGGTGTTAAAGTGAAACAGATTTGATATTACATCAATCAAAAGCACATTGACAGGTGTCAAAACTGCCAGAGATTTGTATTCGTCAGAAGTTACATAGGGCGGCATCATTTTTCGACTTAAGATTTCAATTCTTTCGAGGTGTCAAAACTAAGAAAGGCCAGTTTGCCGCTGGACGCTCAAAGAACGCACGGTGATCGTTGAGATCGCACACATACAGTCCACACCCAAACCCAATATAGAGGTGCAAACGATGTCACAGACATGTTCCTAAAAATATGTAGTGCATAGATTACAAACTATGTTTGATTATTTTAGGGTCCCACATAAAGAAGTTTGTATTTAAGTTTCACTTTCCTGGAACCACGAATAATAAAAAATAATTCATCATCTAACCCCAAAAAGGAACATACGTTACTGTCACAAATGCATAACGTCTAGCTGTGGAAACGTTTTAATCAATTTGAAAATTCAATCATCACGGGTTTTGTTCTTTAATTTATCTCCTACAAGTATAACGTTTTAAAAAATTACAAAAAGCTTCTGTATAGAGCAGTTAATTGTTTTTTAGCGACTTAAGTTTGCCTGTCACTGAATATTAAAAAAACGGGGAAAATACACCCTACCGACAGTAAAATAAGCATTTAATAAATCATTTCTCCCCTCGTGCTCCAAATATTGTATCTGAAATGTCAAACTATCATGGAATCACGATATAATTTTTCTGTCAGCAAAAGAAAACATTGTTTTCTCTTGCACCAAGTACTTGTACAAAATGAAACATTTTGTCAATTTTCCTAGGGAACATACGTTACCTAGTATTAGCTATGACGCAGGCCCCATTAGTTACGGTTTAAATATTAATAAAAAACGTCCTTACGTCATATTTAATTTAACATGATCAAATCACTTCAAAATATATAAGAACACGTTATGAAAATAAAAATTAGGTGGCCTGGAACATACGTTACCGGAACATACGTTACCAGTGAAAATCTACATGCGCCCGAAACAGGCTCCGAAAGAAAAATTAGCTTCTCTTTGAGATGTCAGGTGGTTCCTTCTGACGTCTGCTCGAGCTAAAGATTAGATGAGGTTAGTTACAAGTGTAAATAAATCCATAAAATCCTCAGTAACGATGAAGGCGAAGTGAATGATTTTGTCGTAATAAAAAATTAAATTCAAATACAGAAATGAATGTCAAAGACGGAAATAAATGTCAAACAAAACTATGCAAGGAAAAAATAATCGCCAACGAGACGACTATAGTAGAGCCCAAGAGCGCCAGTAACCAAAATAAAAAATTCATAGAGCACGTTGGCAGAGTAAAAACACAGTATGAACATCTAAGAAATCTCAAGGAAACTTTTACAAGAAATCATGCAGCCTATGATTTGTCTTAAATAGCGACTGATAAGGACCGTAGAGACCCTTGAACTCTAAAGTGATATCTGCTTCTTATACTCACTCAATGGAAAGACTTGAAAACGTAATTTTGTGAGCCACTTACTTTTTATAGATGGAACAAACATTACATATATACATTTTTTTAATTCCCAAAAGTGCCGAAATCCGCAAGACAATTTACACCTTTCAGAGAGGATAGTAAAGCTCATTTTGAACGAATTCTCTGCTGTATTGGAAAACCTATAGGTGTGTTGAAAAAGGCTTCGTTCAAAGAGGTGGTAGGTTAGATCTGTATTTCTTTACATGCAAATGATTAAGGCGTTTGATACGCGGATCGTGTTTGTGTAATAGGTTATCACTTTTGATGTCTGAGTTACTTTTAAACACCTTAATAAATTCTACAAAAAAAAAGAGAAAAAATATCTTATCAATATTTATTAAACTCGTGTCCCGTATCTTTTCTATGGCTGTGGAACATACGTTACATTACGGTATGCGAAGGATGCGAGGCGTAGTTGGTATTGTAACTAATACACCCAAAATTTGAAACTGTCAATGAGTTTTAAATTCACGACGAATATGACCAATGGTAGATAACTTTTAGGTAACAAAGTTTTCAATTCTCTGTACAATTGACAATTACTGCTATTGAAAGAGTCATCAACGTGGACATTGTAAAGAAAAATGATCTTTAGTTTGAAAGTAATTTTCCTAGATCTGGTCAATTTAAATGTATTTTCCTATTACTTTTCCATTATTAATGACTCATAGGGTTCTGATAGTGTTTAGCTTGCACAAATTTCCACAGCGCTCAACTAATGATCGTGTTTATATCAGACGATTCCGTGGTATCGTATGTTCTTTCTTACGCTTTTTTTACATCAAACGGTTATCAATTTATTTGCTTACAAAACAGAAACGCGTGGGCGTAAAATTGGGACATTTGTGGATTTTTGTTCTATACACATGTAAGTTTTAAAAAATTGGATAATACATTGAATTCATTCAATTTCATTTTTTGAGACTTGAACTTGTGAAATGCACCTCTATATTGGGTTTGGGTGTCCAGCGTCTCCGTGGACGCCATAGTCGCTGCAAAATTTTGAACATGTTCAAAACAATCGCAGGGGCATTTTTCAACAGAGGCAGCCTGTCAGGACATCTGAGGGTAACGGCTACTAGTGGTCTCATACCTGGCCCAATTGGAATTTATTTTCTAAATTCTTGTACCTATCCATTTTCTGATATTTCTGTCGTTTTGCAAGATGCAGTTCTTGTCGTTTTCTGCAACAAACTTTTACAGGCCTGTGTTTATTTAATTTAATCCTTATGTAAATCTTTTGTTTTGTGTAAATATTTTACTTTATGATTTTTTATTCAAAGTCATTTATCTTTAGGTTGCAATGCTTCAAATAATGTTAATATTATTATTTATTTTTTAAAAGATACGTGTCTATTAGCGTGTGCATCTACGGTGTACTGCAATTAGCTCCTGTTGGCAGCGCGGCCTTCCTCCAACAAGGGTTACAGGTCTGTTTATTTTATTTTATTTTTTTATTATTATTATTTTTATTTTATTTTATTTTATTTTATTTTATTTTATTTTATTTTATTTTATTTTATTTTATTTTTTTGTTCTTCCAGCAGAGCTTGACGGATTTGTTTCAGATTATTAGGGGTTGATTCTTTTCTCCATTGCGCACTCAAAATCGTTCAGCATGTACTCAACAGGGTTAGTATTCGCCCTCAAAGACGACTGTTCGTTCTTCAGAACATTGCTTTTCAGATTTCTGCAACAAATCAATCAAAATACGAGAACTGTGAATAAGTGCGTTGTCATGACGAAACCGGTAGGCCTACTCATTCCTGAAGTCACCTCTTTATAATGGAATTCATGAGCTCAGTGGGGTTAGTATCGGGCTTCAGAGATGGTTGTTCCATTTTTAAAAGATGACTTCAAAGATCACTACAGGCTTCATCATGACAACACACTTGTTCTTTTTATCATTTTTTAATAGATTAAATAGTGATTCGTGTTAGAAAAAAAGACATAAGGTAGGGGAAAATAGGGAAAATTTGAGAACTGTGTAGGCCCTAATTACCTACAAGATGTGGGTGACACATTAGAGCAATGGTAGGCCTACACCCAGGGGTGGAAGGTATGTGTCCTCCTCTTATCTTCAGGAGCTCCGCAAAATAGTGAAAACAGTAGGCCTACACAGACGGCAGGGGCAGATCCAGGATTATTTGAAGGAGGGGGTCCGGTTTTTAGGAATGACAGGCAGCATATGTGAAGCCGACCCTCGCAACAATTGGTGTGATATTTTTTAGAAATCGAAGGGGGGGGACAGGACCCCCTGCTGACACCCCTCTCAATCCGCCACTGGGTGCAAAAACAAATTAAAAGAACACTTGCATAAATGTCAGACACAGGGCAAATTTCTTTCACGTGACTTCTCTGTTCAGTAATTGTGTTAGGTGAGCTCTGATCTTATGCCTAGCGCAATACTGCTGTCAACAAGCTCAACAGGCTCTATCTAACATGGAAAGGCCTACACTGAAACTTGTTAAACTTGTACCCTCTACCGGGGACACAGTGGTTATTATTTGGACATTTTCGCTGTGCAGAGAATAACTGTGAATTTAACCAGAGACACATCTGTGAATATCAAGCGAAAAATCAATCCGTGGCCCTGGTAGAGGGTAGAAAACTTGGAACCATAATGGAGAGCTCGAGGAGGGGAGGGTCTTTCTGCTTTGGTTCCGCAATGAAAGTGACTTATCTGCCTTCTTCTTCATTTACTGCGTGTTACCAATGTCCTCACATTATCACAGTATTTCCCAGCGTGTAAGCACATTAGAACATCGCATATTTAAAATAACTTTTTGCTTCTCTATTTATTTTCCCCCTTATTTTTTCGTGGTAGGAATCTTTTATGTGTCAGGACATACTTTTCGACACATTTCTTACGCCCTTAGATGGTTTACGGCACACACACATAATCTACTATACCATTACTTCATTGAGACTTTCTTCACTGACGTATTTTCTTTAAATAGCACCGACGTCAACGTTAGCATTGGTTGCCGAATCACAGTCCACTAATCACATGTAAAAGTCCCTATCAGCCAATCATATGCGGGGCCACACAGGTGCGTTGGCGTTTCGCCAAATTTAGTCTGATGCAATGAATGCGGAAGCGCACCGACTTTCCCCTTGACTATATATATATCAATGTGCATTATAAACGAGTACCTAGCTATACACTGAATGCATGGAAAAATAATTATAAGATTACTCTAAATGATTTGTGGAAAGTATGAGGGTATATATGGATTGTAAATATGACATGTTGCTCAAATAACAGTCTGAACGATTAAGTAAGTCATTGTCGTTAATTGATGTGCGGAAGGATAGATAACAATTCGCGCCGTAAAGAGTCCCGCCACGCATTGCACGACCATTTCATCAGACACACCAAGAAGAGAAGCTGCGACGAAAAGGTTTCCCGTGACTGTACAACAAAAAACCGCGAAAATGGCTTTCTAGAACCCCGGCAGCTGAACGACTTGTGCTCCGCAAGGCGCACCCTGGCGTACGTTATCAAATTTTGTACAATTTTACTGAGGTTTTGTTCAACTTAAGAAAATAGGAGAGACGGTCGACATTGTGAAAATTGACATATGTTTCGTAAGAACCTTTTCTGTTTTAACTTTATCTTAAACGTTTGTGTTTGGAAATAGTGATCAAGGTTAGGTGAGTGTATTTACAAAAAGAAAAGAAAACAAGTGACATTTCACGGAGTTAAATATTTGTGATTTGTTTATTTTTTTAGTAACTGCAAAATGGCAAGCTTACGACAAACGCACCCTCCCTCTGGGATACTTGACGACAAAGTGAAATCGATAGAAACGATACAAGATGATGTTCGAGGACGAGATGAACGATTGGGGCGATTTATTTGCCCCAGCCCCGTTGGGCGTTGAAGTTGATACCTTCGCTGAGCTGAAAGAGTCAGCTGGAAAACCAATCACACATGATGGTCCATTCTCCGATTTGGCAGATGACCGTTTGGGTAAGTTGTAATTTTCAGTCTAATTATTTGTTGTAAAATATGTGTGAGAGGGGAAAAAAGACTTTGTGTGAGCTGGAAATTATTGAACATATGGTGAAAGACTGTTGAGTGACATTCTCTTAATTCTTCTCATTTTCATCAAGTTAAATTTTTTCTCATCTTTTTGCAGGACCACAGTTGTTTGAGCCATGGTTGGACGAGAGAGTGGACCTTCTCGACTTCCTCCTGGATGAAGGCAAGTCTGTCCAAGAGGTAGATGCCATGGTCACCTCTGTCACAACATTGACCGATGTTATAGGACCAGCTGAACCCACTGCTGCAGCCCCACCCACTCCTCCACCAGCTGTTGTGGTGGCAGACAGCATTGAGGAACTCTTGGCCCAAGTAGAGGGGCTTAATGACTCTGGCTTTGTACATAATGAATCATTAGAGGGCTCAGGTGCCTGTGTTGAATATGTAGATCTCACACCACCTCTCAGCCCAGAGGATGTGGAAAGTATTTTATCAGATTCTGGACGAAGCAGTCCTTATTTATTAGACACTTCTACTGTAGATACTTCAGTCCTGTCACCAGGATCAGACTTTAGTTCAGAAGACGATGAGCTCTTTGTACAGAAAAGATCTCGTAGTTCTCCATATAGCACTGACCCTGATTACACTGTTACTCCACGGGTAAAGTCTCATTCTGGTAAAAAGCCTAAAACACTTGACAAAAAGTTAAGAAAGAAAGAGCAAAACAAAACTGCTGCTCTCCGTTATAGATTGAAAAAACGCGAAGAAACTGAACAGCTACAAGCTGAGGCCGATGAACTAGAATCACACAATGGAGTGTTGAAAGGAAAGGTTGAAGAACTAGAAAGAGAAATTAAGTACATGAAAGAGTTGATGAAGGAAGTGTATATGGCAAAAGGACTGATTAAAGAATGATTGTAATGTACTATTTGTTAAATTATTGTAGGAATAATTATTATTGTAAATAAATGGTGTTTGAAATATTGAGTATTTGATTTATAATTTTTAGCAAATGGCATAAAAAAGTACAAGCAACTCCAAGAATTGGTACTAAGTAACCAAAATATTAAAATTTTGTGGCACACACTTTGCTTCTTAAAGGGGCACTCAGTTAACGAGTGCTTTCAGTGAATTCAACTATGCCTATATTTATGTGACTTGGCAAAGGCATATTTTTGAGATCAGGAGCTTTTATTAACGTGGAACAAATTCTTAAGTTTCTTAGTCATTGCCTGGTGTTGAAAATAATTTACTGAAACATTTCAGCACACCCTTTGCCTCTTAATACTGCAGAAACTGGATTTCATTAGGGTCTTTCCATCAACATAACCGTAGTAACCTTTTATTGGCACTGATACAGAAAAAGTGACCCTTGACATAAATAACCCTTGGATGTCTCCGCTAACAAATAGCATTTTGTCAGTTAAGTAATTTTTCTGATGTTTGTTATAATTTTCACCATAAGTTTTCCAATGATTAACAGCATTCTGGGAGCATAATTACTTTCAAATCTTTCTTGGTTCCCAATGATTAACAGCATTTTAGGAGGCTGTAATATTAAAGTTCATCTTTTCTAGATTAAAGGGAAAAAACTAGATAAATTGGGTAATACCCTGTAGGTTTTACAATTTGTTTCATAATTTGCTGCCCTCCAAGTCTGCATTATAAGTATCAAATAGCACAGTCCTGGTGTGTTAAGCAAGAAGCCTCTTCACATGTTGACCACAGAACGGATACTGTAAGAAGAAAATAACCAAATTGTAAATTTTTTATATGTTTAAATATACATTTTTGATGGTGTGTATCAACTTTTATATGCCAAATAACCTATGCACTTTTAACTTCTAAGGAATCATGTTAGGCTATGCATCTGTTGATCAAAGGCGATTTTTTTATTGATTCATAAATGATATGGAAAAGCGGTCTGAATTCCTAATAACATTAATTATTTACACAAACATGTATGCATATATAACACACTTTTGACTGTATCAATCTTATTTATTACGTACCTCTGCCCAGAATGCATAAGGTCAAATGCTTCATTGATTTTTTCCAGGGGCATGTTGTGACTCACAAACTCATCTACTTTAACTATTCCTTTCAAGTAATCCTCCACTAGTTTGGGGACACTTTCACGACTTTTCCAACCTACAAAAAATAGTTATGTCAATTGCTTTCTAAATTTAATTCAAACAGATTTGTATATATACTTGATTGTTTCACACCTTCCTTCTAGATAAACACTGTAGAGAACACTGTAGTGACTCTAGGAAAAAAGAATTACATTTATGATACATTAGGGTTCATTCCCAATGAAACTATCGTTCTATGTAGATCAATCCAACTCGCTGAAAGCACTCGGTTACACATTTTAACATGATGTGAGTAGAATGCAGAAAAATGGACTCTTGCTTCCACAAAAACCATTTACGATATAGTTAGGCGGCTAAGCCAAAAAATTGTGCAAAAGTTGATAAAAGCATGAAACTTTCCACGATGAAAGACCATCAGGTATTAGTTAATTTTGGATCGGGGGGCAACTCCAAAATCCATTAGTACCCGGGTGGGCAGCGTTCCTAAAATACGCTGACTCAGCGTTTTTATACGTACGAAGATTCCATCAAAACAAGAGCTGCTTTGTATGTATAATTTAAATTATGATTACATGTATAAATTTGAGACTCATACACTCACTGTGCACATATATGACAGCAATGACGTCATGATGACGTCACTGAATGATATTTTACAATACAAAAAGACGGATGTCTCGTTTTTATGCACATTTAAATATCACCAAAACGTGCATTACCGGTCTTAATAATGACATTATGGATATAATTAAGACATGTACAATAAATGTGCAGATATCTGAGAGCAATGGCGTCATGATGACGTCACTGAACGATATTGCGCAATACAAAATGGCAAATTTTAAACACGGAATTCTTAAAGACGAACATTTCACTCGTACAGTCTTGAATAATAATTTGAGCTAAAGGCAGTAATGATGTAAAACACATCTTTGAAGGCATAATCTGATATATTTATTTAAGTCATTTGTATAAAAAAAAAAACATAAAAAGTGTTGGCACAAACTAAATGTCTTTACTTCTTAATTTCCATTAAGTGAAGCAGTTGCCACCACAGGCACACAGAGCTGTGCATTGCAATCTAGCTTTGTTACATTTACACAGCCCTCTACACGCCTTTTTACAAGCACATCGGATAAGCTCATAGCAGCTTAGCTGTGCCTGAGAGAGTGTGGACCAAACCGGCCTCCAAGTTCCCCCATCATTTGTCCATCCCCATTCGTGTGGACTGGGGAGCTCTGGTCTCGTCAAATGCGCCTGACTCCACACATGCCCGCCCTGATATGCTGCACGAAGTAAGTGCTGCTCCAAAGCTGCTGATGTTGGGGGTATCCTGTTAAGAGAACGCTGACGCTTGCAGAACAGCTCTTGCCGTGCCTCATTTACTGAACTCAGTTGGCTTCCTCGATCGTATAATAAGACAACAAATCTCTCTATAATCTCCCTGCAGTTTTCTGGCAGTGAATCGGGTACGTTTGCTATGTCTAGAAAAGCTTGGGTGACCTCAGGGTACACCGTCCACGTGTCCCACGCGCTCTTCTTGCTTTTGTTGGTAAAGTAGGACACGGTATCGCAGCCAGTAAAGGCATGAAACACTGGCAGTGCCCTACACTTCTCCGGTCCAAGTGACTCTGCAATTTCATGTACAGGAAGGTAACGAAAGTGTTTACCAGTCCCAAATGCAAGCCAAAGTTCTTTGCCTTGAATTCGCTGCATTTGTGCTATGGCAATAATGAACACACCAGTGTCAACTGTTCTTATAAGTATACGATGATGCCAATTCGCAGCATTNACAATAGTGGCGAAGAAGCCAAACGGCACGTATATTCTGGAAAATTTACAAGGGTAAAAAGTCTCTTTAACTTTTTCCCTTGGCTGTGGGTGCTGGTCAGCTAAAGCAGTATAGTTAGGCGGCTAAGCCAAAAAATTGTGCAAAAGTTGATAAAAGCATGAAACTTTCCACGATGAAAGACCATCAGGTATTAGTTAATTTTGGATCGGGGGGCAACTCCAAAATCCATTAGTACCCGGGTGGGCAGCGTTCCTAAAATACGCTGACTCAGCGTTTTTATACGTACGAAGATTCCATCAAAACAAGAGCTGCTTTGTATGTATAATTTAAATTATGATTACATGTATAAATTTGAGACTCATACACTCACTGTGCACATATATGACAGCAATGACGTCATGATGACGTCACTGAATGATATTTTACAATACAAAAAGACGGATGTCTCGTTTTTATGCACATTTAAATATCACCAAAACGTGCATTACCGGTCTTAATAATGACATTATGGATATAATTAAGACATGTACAATAAATGTGCACATATCTGAGAGCAATGGCGTCATGATGACGTCATGATGACGTCACTGAACGATATTGCGCAATACAAAATGGCAAATTTTAAACACGGAATTCTTAAAGACGAACATTTCACTCGTACAGTCTTGAATAATAATTTGAGCTAAAGGCAGTAATGATGTAAAACACATCTTTGAAGGCATAATCTAATATATTTATTTAAGTCATTTGTATAAAAAAAAACACATAAAAAGTGTTGGCACAAACTAAATGTCTTTACTGCTTAATTTCCATTAAGTGAAGCAGTTGCCACCACAGGCACACAGAGCTGTGCATTGCAATCTAGCTTTGTTACATTTACACAGCCCTCTACACGCCTTTTTACAAGCACATCGGATAAGCTCATAGCAGCTTAGCTGTGCCTGAGAGAGTGTGGACCAAACCGGCCTCCAAGTTCCCCCATCATTTGTCCATCCCCATTCGTGTGGACTGGGGAGCTCTGGTCTCGTCAAATGCGCCTGACTCCACACATGCCCGCCCTGATATGCTGCACGAAGTAAGTGCTGCTCCAAAGCTGCTGATGATGGGGGTATCCTGTTAAGAGAACGCTGACGCTTGCAGAACAGCTCTTGCCGTGCCTCATTTACTGAACTCAGTTGGCTTCCTCGATCGTATAATAAGACAACAAATCTCTCTATAATCTCCCTGCAGTTTTCTGGCAGTGAATCGGGTACGTTTGCTATGTCTAGAAAAGCTTGGGTGACCTCAGGGTACACCGTCCACGTGTCCCACGCGCTCTTCTTGCTTTTGTTGGTAAAGTAGGACACGGTATCGCAGCCAGTAAAGGCATGAAACACTGGCAGTGCCCTACACTTCTCCGGTCCAAGTGACTCTGCAATTTCATGTACAGGAAGGTAACGAAAGTGTTTACCAGTCCCAAATGCAAGCCAAAGTTCTTTGCCTTGAATTCGCTGCATTTGTGCTATGGCAATAATGAACACATCAGTGTCAACTGTTCTTATAAGTATACGATGATGCCAATTCGCAGCATTCAGTACGTGAATAAAAATCCGAGAGTCTGCTTCTTCGTGATTACATGGCTGAAGGGATTCCAATGATTCACTATTGACTCCTGCTGACACCACTCCGTCACCCTGGGTGCTGACTACTATTTTGTCTGAGACTTGCATTCTTCCTAACTCATCTGACAGAAGCTTAAAAAGTTCCGTCTTATTCTCGTCTACTCTTAAGAAGCTCTTCCAGTTCTTAGGCATTTTGACAGAAGGCTTGACGCGCCGCCTTACGCCCTCTCCCCTCTTTTCTCTGGTGCACTTTTTCAGGCTGTCGTCCCGGTACACATCCCATATAACATCAACACGCTTGGCGGATTGAAGTTGAGCATGAATGTACGGTATGAAGATGCTTTCAGTGTACTCTTGAAAAGTCTCAGAGGTTTTTGGATCTAACATTTGGACTATTACTGCTCCGTCGAGTATCTTAACATCAACTTCGGGGCTCACAGTCGAAGCACAGACGTTGCCTTGCACGCATGGAATTATTTCCGCCTTGTTACCTTGCTTCATTGAACCATGATGGGAAAGCGCTGGTGGCGAAGGTTGATTCTCATGTTTAAAAAACTCATTTAGGTTTCCATCCCTTGTCTGACATGCAATGTACAATCTTGAGAACAAAGAGCAATCTTCCTTTAGCTCTGCCATTGCCGTTTGCTTCTTTTCGGGGCCTTTACTTGGAGGATTCTTGAACAGATGTAGTTTGTTTCGCTTTAAAGGGTCAGTGATTGGCTTGGACCTGTCCACAAACCTTTCCTTTGCGAACTGGTCGTACTGATGTCTGCCGAGTAATTTAATCTTCTTAATCGTTTCTTCTACCTCTCTAGGCATTATTTCTTTTGTATCTAAGCGGAGCAATTCCCCACTGTCCTCAAGAAAAGGATTGCCTATTTCTTGTAAGGTGACCACTAGAGATTTGACGTCCTTTTGGAAACGTGCCTGTATTGATGGTATTTGATCATGGTGTTTTGTGGACTCTGTTTTAGCGGTGGGCGTTTGCTGTTCATACTCGTGCACCATCCTAGACAGTTCGGGGCCACCAATCATCCATCTCCTTAGTGCACTTGCATTTTCTGTGAGTCCAACGGCGCCACCTTCACCTTTGATTGACACATTTTCTTGTTCATGGGCATGGTCCAAAGCGATTGCTGAGAACTGGTGCATGGATTTCTTAACGACAAACATGCCCCTCATGAACTTGCGGTATACCTCGGGGTGTTCTTTTGGCAGCGCTAGCATGTCCCGCACATGCACTGAGAGCCAACGTGCATAATGGACATGGTCAAGAACAAACATCCAAGGCATTAGTAATCCTAGCGATTCTACGTAGAGGTTGAAATCTCCTTCTCTTATCGCCCTTACGAACTCGAGAACAAGAAGTTCAAACTGCAAGATCAGGTACCAGAAGAGGAAGTGTGGTTGTCGTGTCGAGGCTTTATCACACCAAGTTTCAAACTCCTCTGGTTGCTGGTCGACACAAACCCCTGCTTTGTAGATGTCGTAAGCATTAGAAAGAAGAATGTACAGAGCAGCAGATGTAAGTTCATGCGCGTGCCTGGTTCGCGCAAGGTGTGTCACCTTCAAATAAGATTCAGCAGTTCCTACTGAGGCCACGTCAGCACTTACTAACACGTCTACCCAGCCGCTGCCTTCGAGAAGATTACCGAGCGCTTTTAGGGCCGCCATCTCGATATGTAGCCC